AAATAATCCTTTTGAGCATTGGTCATAGTACTTGCAGCAGAGGCCTAGGTTCATCCCTCAGCACTGGATAGTCCCCTGAACACTGCCTTACATGACACCCATTCAACCTTCCACAAACAACAGTCACCCGCTGAGCACTGCCCTGTATGTCCCCAAACCAAACAAAACATTCTTTATCGCTGCTATTGAAAATAGACAGGGAATCGAGGGCTTATTACAGCCTCTTGGATTAGAGAGATAGTTACATTTGTTCCAGAAATAAATAGTAAATTATTGAGAGCAGGACTGTGAGAAAAGTAAGGGAAATCAGTGGTAGAGTGCTTAACCTACCATGTCTGAGGATCTTGGGTTTGATTGCCAATATCACCAAAAAGGGTACTTAAAATGTTCTTGGTTAACAGCAAGGATGTTACTGATATTCTTGTTATCTCAGCGGTGTGAAGACAGTAGAGGTTATCTGGCAGTTGTTTGAGAAGGCATACTATTAGAAATTAGTAGAGTGTGAAGAACTTTTTTCTTTTTACCATTTTTATTAAGGTACTCTTATTAAGAACTTTCTTTTTACCATTTTTATTGCCAGTTACACCTTTTATGCATATATGATTAAACGCTGCACCCATAATCAGAGTGCCCACACACACATATTCTGTCTCTGTGTCTCTCTCTCTCCTTTTTACACAAACAAACACACAGATAAATTCGGTTCTGTAGGCAAAATTTTTAGTTTCTATATTTTTGGCTGTCTGCTTTTCCCTTAGTATACTTTTTTAATATTCCACATATGAGAGATTTTTGTTTGGGGGAGTGTTTGGAGGTGGTAACATCTGTACATGTAGATGAGTAAAGGTAAGCTGAAATTTCACAAAATTGTTAATTAGTAAGTTGATGCTTTAGATTTTTTTTCTTTCAGAAACTTTCTTGGCGTCACAGGGATATACAATAGGTAGGATGTTTGCCTCGCATGCGACTGCATGGGTCCCATTTGGTCCCCTGAGCATCGCTGGGAGTAATTCCTGAGTGCAGAGTCAGGAGTAACCCCTCAGTCCTGATGGATGTGGCACCAAAACAAAAACACCAAAACCTATCTTTCTTATAATAGAAATTTAAATATGTATACTAGCATACGTAGAATATAAATTTTAAATACCATGAATAAGTCTATGCTGCTCCATTTTCAAACTTAGTGAAATAGATAAATCCTACAATTTATTTTAAAAATACAATTTTGTAAGAGTAAAACCAGAATGTTTTTTAAAAAAGGAAAATGGAATAGGCCTACGAGAGTGTAAAAATGTGTTAGAACTTTTTGAAGGTAATAGATTCAATGGGTAGAGGACGCATATAGGATTGGAAGCAAGTTAGTAGGGCTACCCAAACCTAATGGTTAATTCACCATTTAATAAGTTGTGTAATGATAATAAAATATTAAAGTTATTCAAGTGTTAAAATTCTTTAAAAGCTATTTTGGCTGCTTTATTATTGTTATTATGATTATGAGTTCGATTCCTCCGCCCCTCTCGGAGCGCCCGGCAAGCTACCGAGAGTTTCTCGCCCACATGGCAAAGCCTGACAAGCTCCCTGTGACGTACTCGATATGCCAAACACAGTAACAGCAAGTCTCACGGTGGAGACGTTACTGGGCCCGCTCGAGAAAATCGATGAACAACGGGAGGATAGTGACAGTGAAAATGATTATGATTATTATATTTTAACATGCCTCTAGGTTTTCACTTTATCACTAGAGGGCACTCCGTACTTTTTTAGTTCCTTTCAGCAATAATTGATTTATCTGAGCTTCACATTATTTGAGACTGGTAGTTGCTGTATATTTGTCATTATTCTCATCTTCACACAATTTTTTTATTTATGTGCTGTCCTTTAATCTTTCTAGTGCTGTTTCGAATAGTTTGGGGGCAGGGGACTGGAGTGATAGTAGAGAGGGTAGGGTGCTTGCCTTGCATGTGATCAACCCAGGTTTGATACCTGATATCCTGTATGGTCCCCTGGGCCCTACCAGGAGTGATTACTGAGTGCAGAGCCAGGCATAACAATTCCTGAACACCGCCAGATGTGGCTCAAAAACAAAACAGAACAGAACAAAACAAAATAATATGGGGAGCTGGGGAGAGAGCACAGTGGGTACTTACCTTGCATGTGGCCAGCCTGGATTTGATCCACAGCACCGCATATAATCTCCCAAGACCAACCAGGAGTGATCCCTGAAGCACTGAACCAGGACCCAGGAGTAAGTCCTGAACACCACTGTGTGTTTTTTGTTGTTGTTTATTTAATTTTTTTCTAGCAGATTTTTGAATGTTTTTCTATGAAAGAAATTTCTAAAATTGGTATGATTTACATAGTACTTTCAAACTGATTAGTATGTAGCTTAGATAGCTACCCTATTGATTTAAAATTTTTTAAAAAAATAGTAATAGTAATTAGTTTTATTTGTACTTTGGGTGAATTTGGGGAGGTGTCCGCTAGTGTTCAGTTCCTATTCCTGGCTCTTTGCTCAGTGGTCACTCCTGGCATTGCTCAGGGGACTGTTTATAATACTATGGATCCCACTGGGTCAACTGTGGATAAGCCGCACTAGTACTGTCTCTCCAACCCATGGCAATTGGTCTTTGTCTTTGTTTTTGGGCTCTGCACTGAGGGATCACTCCAGGCAGGCATCAAGTCTGGTGTCTAAGTATAACCCAGGTCTGCCATGTGTAAAACAAGTGCCCCTCTCTCCTATTTATCTCTCTAGTCCCAGGCCTCGATTTAAAAAGGGTAATTTTTTTACCCTTTGGTAAACTCTTTGGCGAGCTCTAGGTTACGTACTCCTTATTTATTTAATTTATTTTTTAATTTTTTATTAGTGAAACACCAATCAGGTACAGTTGTAGACTTACAAATTTTTGTGCTTGGGTTTCAGTTATACAGTGATCGAGTACCCATCCCTCTACCAGTGCCCGTTCTCCACCACCAATGACCAATGATCCCAGTATCCTTCTCTCCCCCCTACCCCCAATCCCACCCCACCTCTGTGGCAGGGCATTCCCTTTTGTTCTCTCTCTCCTTTTGGGTGCTGTGGTTTGCAAAGAGGCATTGAGTGGCAATCATGTTTGGTCTGTAATCGGCTTTCAACATGCATCTCCCATCCTGGGAGGATCCTCCCAGTTATGTACTCTTTTTAACACACTTTGTTTTGTTCTGGGGATGGGACCCAGTGCCTTACACATGGAAAGCATGTGCTTTACCTAAGTCACACTTCCAACCTTCCTCTATTTTCTCATCTTCATTCAGGGACACTCTTGATGGGGTCAGGGGGACCATATTGTTGCCAGGGATTGAACCTGGTGAGCCAGGTGCAAGGCAAGTGCCATACCTAATGTACAGTAGGTCCCGGTCCATACTTTTTTCTGCGTTTCTAGATCTCTCTTCCCCCCTCCTCCGTGCCGCTCAGTGCTTAATCCTGTCGTTCCTCAGGGGATTTTATGGGATGCCAGGGACTAGAACCAGATCAGCTACATGCAGGCTCCCTAAATGCTATAGTATTACTCCAGCCTTACCCTCTGTACTTTCACTCAGGTCTCTCTTTCTTTCTTCCTCTCCCTCTCTGTAACTTGGTGACCAGAGAGATAATAAATAGCTCAGTGGACTGAGGGCATGCTTTGCATGTGATTCAATACATGGCACAGCAAGTCCCAGACCCCACTAGGACTAGCCTGTAAGCATAGAGTCAGTAGTATATTCTGAGAACTGCCATGTGTCATCCAAAAACCAGAAAAAAGGAACAAAAAATTTGGCAGCCTGACCACCTTCCACAGGCAGTATTGTCTTCAATTTTTTAAAATTTATTTTAAGGTTTGTTTGTTTGTTTATTAGTGGGCCAGACCAGGGACTGCTTCTGGCTTTGTGCTTAGGAATCACTCCTGGCAGTGCTTGGGGGACTGAATGGGATGTTGGAAATTGAACCTGAGTCAGCCAGCATGCAAGGCAAATAACATTCTCTATACTATACTGGCCCCCTAAACTTTGTTTTAAGCCTGGGAAGCTTTATAATTGGAAGTGAATGAGAGGTTTATAGCAGCAATAATACGATTCTTGGATGTCTTTTTTTTGTGGGCAGGGGTTGGAGCTATATACTTGGTGGTCCTTAGAGCTGATTTTCTACTCAGAAATCACTTCTGGCAGGGCTCAGGGAAGTGTATGAGGTGCCAGGGATTGAACGTGGGTCGGCCTTGTGCATGGCAAGCAATTTACTGCCATACTACCTCTCAGGACCCACCTTTTATTTCTTGCCGTTCTTTTCTTTTTTTGCAGGGTTGTGGGGGACTTAGACCTAGTGGTGCTTATGCGGGTAGGGGTCATTTCCCAACATTGCTGTGAATCAAATCCAGGACAATTTCAAGCAAAGTCTGTCCTCCATCCCTTTGGTTTCCTTGACCCTGGATGATTTTTTTTTTTCTTTTTTGCTTTTTGGGTCACACCTGGCGTTGCACAGCACTTAGTCCTGGCTCTGCACTCAGGAGTTACTCCCGGCAGTGATCAGGGGACCATGTGAGATCCTGGGAATCGAACCTGGGTTGGCCATGTGCAAGGCAGACACCTTACCCGCTGTGCTATCTCTCCAGCCCAACCCTGGATGATTTTTAAAAGCTAATCATTTCATTTTATTAGCTTTTTTGGAAAAAAAAAGTTTTGGCCACACCTGGCTGTGCTCAGGATTTACTCCTGGTTCTGTGCTCAGGGATTATTCTTGGTGGGGATCATATGTGGGGTCCGGTATGAAGCCTGGGTTGGCGTCATTCAAGACAAGTGCCCTAGACCCTATAATATTACTCCAGCCGAGTTAGCTTTTAACATAAGATGGTAAGTATAATAGTTTCTGAAACTGGGTGTTTGGATAGTTTGAAATCCACATATTCATTTACTTCTTTTATAATATTAACATTATCACACCTGTTTTCTATAGCAGAAACATAGAGACAAAAACTTTTCTTTTTTTCTAGCGAAGGTGGTGTTTTTAAGGCTCATCTCACTTTTCCAAAAGATTATCCCCTTCGACCTCCTAAAATGAAATTCATTACAGAAATCTGGCACCCAAATGGTAAGTTTATTGTTTTACTTTTACAAACATGATGACTTGTTACTAAAATGTAAGAGTTAAACAGGAAGGATCAGTTCTGAATAAAACTGCTTTGGAATTTTGTACTAAGCTGCTTGTGCTCATTACACACGTGATCTTTGTGTTATTCTTTAGGATGAGGAGCTGATCACATTGTGAATATTAGTGTTTCTTTTTGAGACCCACCCCAAAAGCATTTTAGAAAAGTTATAAACTAGATTTTACCTGTGAATTTTAACAATGATCAATAAAGAAGACTCTTAGTTCTAAGGGAAGTGGCAGTGGGAACTGTGTTTCTGATGAGTATATTGGATATAAAAATGTTACTCGGAAATAGGTATAAAACTCTCCTATTTCTATATTTAACTGTTCTTAAAATAACAAGGTTGAACATGAAAAATGCTAGATTATGATAACTTAATTTCTTTATAAAAAGAGACCTTTTTTGGGAAGAAAAAAAATTTATTGTTTTGGGGCCACACCTGGTAGTGCTCAGGGTTTGCTCCTGGCTCTGTGCTTAGAGGTCACTCCTGGTGAACTCGGACCATATGGGGTGCCAGATTGAAAACTTGGCTGTGCGCTAGGCAAGTACTGTTTCTGCTGCACTATCTCTCTGGCCTCAAATAAAATGTTTTTTAAATTGACTTTTTCTGAAATACTTCTGTACTAACACGTATTATCATGTTTTCAAGGAAAATGTATTTTTTTAAAAGAAGTCTTTATAATAAAAAGCTTCTTGGTAATGTTGTATATATATTTCAGTGTTGAGTTTGGGCATGTATGTGAGGCTCTAGACACACACACACACACACACGCACGCATGTATGAGTTTTCTCTTATTGACTGACTGATGCTGTTAAGACTCAGTGATAGATCTACTTTCCTGTGTTGGGCCTCAGTTTCAATCCCAGAGGCATTTGCATTGTGATTCTTGACACCACAACAAAGTGTAGAAAGAAAGGGGCAAGGGTGGGGCAGGAGGCAGGAAGTTTTATATTACTATTCTTGCCTTTTGATGTTTTCCATTTTAGTTAATAGATTTACTAGGAGGTGAGGGTGGTATAATTATTTAAAAGCTCACATACAATATGCTTTGTACCGTGTATATTTACGAAGTTGTAGAGCATCAGTACATAAAAAATAAGGTTTTTATAAGGTACAGATTTTATTATAATGTAAGAGCTTTAAAATTATACCTATTACACTTTTATTAGTCTTTTTTTGTATAACAAAAAATAAAGTATATATAGCCAATGCCATATTTGTGGAATTTGGGAATCTGACTTTAATCACCGTGATTTGGTTACAAAGTTGTTCATGTTTTTCAAATCATGCAATGTTCTAACACCTATCCCTTCACCAGTGCACATGAAAAAATTTAATATTTCCCTAATTTTCTCCAATAAGTTTGCTTTGACATATAAGATTAGTGAATGATCTTATTTTGATAATTTCACTAACAAAGGAGTTATTTATGTGATATAAATATGTCAGGAGATTATTATGTCAGTAGTTTTGTTTGGTTCTCCTAGTTGGTGCTCAGGAGCTTTGGGGATTTCCTGCAATTTTTGGCATTTGGGCTTGGTGCTTCAGTGCTAGGACTCAAGGTTGCCATGCTGTGAGGGCATTGCAGTGCTAGGGAATACCTATGCCACCCTGGGAGTACTTGGGAAACCAGGTATGCCAGAGACTGAACCAGGGTCAGTCACATGCAAGGCAAGCCCTAACCCCTGTGCTTTTTCTCTGGTTGCGGTTACTTCCAACGATTTTTAAATTTTTTTGAATTGTAAAATAGTTTTATAGAAAAAGGGCCTTGTGAACATTATGAATTCCGTTATCAGTATGACATGCTCTTTAATAAATTTCAGCACATTATTTTTTTCCCCTGAAAATTTAATTGTACATTGTGATAGAAACTATATGTTATGGTATTCTTATTTTTTAGGAAAATCTGTGGCCCCTTGATGAACACTGTTTATAAGAAATAAATTATTGGGACTAGAGCAGTAGTACAGTGAGTAGTTCCTTGTACATAGCTGACCCAGGTTTGGTCCCAGCTCTCCATACACTCCTCCAAGTCTGCCAGGTATAAACCCAATCCTGGAGTGCAGAGCCAGGAGTAAGCTCTGACCACTGGCTGGGTGTGACCCCAAAAGAACTAATAACAAAAAGTTACTAAGGAAACTAAGAAATCTTATGACTCTGATATTTAGGCCATAATATGTTTTAAGTGAAGAAAATTCAGTAGCTCATTTGTGTTTTTTTATATGTAAATATGCGATGCCTTCTATATGCTAATAAGTATCTATACAGGTGGTAGGGCATTTGCCTTCTATGCAGCTGATCCGGGTTCGATCCCTGGCATCCTACATGGTACTGGAAGCACCTCCCAGAATAATTCCTGAGTGCAGAGCCAGGAGTAACACTCGCCCCACTCGCCCCATTCCTCACCCTGCCCTGAGCATTTCCCCCCCGGCCCGCAAGTAAAAGATAAAGATTGCTTGCTTATTTTTTTTTAAACTACTGCTCTCTTTGCTTGCATTCTTAAAGGGCTAACAGGTTTCAGTTTGGAAATTAATTTCTGGATATATTTAATATTTTATATGGGTACTTGGGACTATAATGGATATTTTAAATATAGCCAAATTATTTTAAATATTCTAAAGAACAGAATTCTTCTCTGATTTTACAGTTGATAAAAATGGTGATGTGTGCATTTCTATTCTTCATGAGCCTGGGGAAGATAAGTATGGTTATGAAAAGCCGGAAGAACGCTGGCTTCCCATCCACACTGTGGAAACCATCATGATTAGTGTCATTTCTATGCTGGCAGACCCTAATGGAGATTCACCTGCTAATGTTGATGCAGCGGTAAGGAGTTTACCTGCATACGCTCCCTCTCCTTGTTACTTAAACTTTATTGGAATGACAAGTTTCTTCATATGTACATACATGTTTGGATATATGTGTGTTTTAGTCTTTTTATCAGCTTTTATCCATTTCTCTTCTGATCAGTATCACCCCGTTGTTCATCGATTTACTTGAGTGGGTGCCAGTAAAGTCTCCATTTGTCCCTGTCACGTGCTAGTGTAGCCCGATGGCATATTGGGGTCTCTTTCAAGGTCAGGGGACCGAGGACCATCATTGTTACTGTTTTTGGCATATCGAGTACACCACAGGAGGCTTGCCAGGGACTGCTGTGTGGGTGGGATACTCTTGGTAGCTTGCCGGGGTCTCCGAGAGGGATGGAGGCTGTTGGGGCAGCCTCTAATCACCTTTACAGGTGTTCCCAGTCAGGCATAAATGCGGGCAGGATACTCTCTCGGTAGCCTGCTGGGTTCTGTGAGAGCGAAAACTAGACAGTAAGAGGTCTTCTGGGAGCTTGGTTTTATAGTCTCTGAATCTTGGCCATTTATGGAGTTACACAGCAGTTGGTGGGTGTAACTGTCTAGCTACTGGAAGATGGGGGATCTGGGTGGAGGAGGCCCAGTCCCGATCTGGGCAGGCTTGGAGATCTCAGCCCCGGGTCCCACACACCAGGGTTCCTCTGCCAGTTCCTTCATGCATGAGGCTCATTCAAGCGTGTGGAGAGTGGTCTCAGCATAGCTGTGGCTGGATCCCGGAGGTCTTCGTCTGCCGGGGCTCTGCTCATGGCAGAGAGGGAAACTCCACCCGCCCCTTCCAAGGGGCCCCGGTGAGAACAGTCAGGCATGGGGAGAGCAGTCTCTGCATTGTTCTTCTCCGGGAGCTTTGGTTTTATAGTCTCTGGATCTTGGCTGTTGATGGGGTTACACGGCAGTTGGTAGGTGTAACTGTCTAGCTACTGGAACATGGGGGGTCTGGGTGGAGGAGGCCCAGTCCCTAACTGAGCAGGCTTGGAGATCTCCGCCCCGGGTCCTGCACACCTGAGTTCTTCTGCCAGTTCCTTCAAGCGTGAGGCTTGAGCCTAACAATACATTGAAAAAAATTCTGTTGATGTTCATATTTCCAATATATTTCTATCTTCCCATGAGTTATCCTCAAGTGTCATTTTCTAACAAGTTAAGGACTTCTTTTCAACATTTCTCGTAAGACAGGTCTGCTTGCCACAAATTTTGTCCTTGAATAGGAATGTAATTAATTCACTTTCATTTTTGAAGATAGTTTTGCTATCAAATTATTAATCAACCAGGTTTTTCTTTCATGGCTTTTCTTCCTTATGTTACTTCCTCCAACTTCTCTTCTGATACAAAAATAAATTACAGACATAATTGTTTTATTTGTTAGTAATTAAGATGCCTCTTAAAAATAACAACAGTATCTTTATAATTATAATATGATTGTCATACCTGATACTTCGGGTCCAGGTTGTTAACTCCAAGCTTTTACTTTTCAAACTATTATATCTATGAAATTCTTGGATTGGTTAAGTACACACTCCTTCACCTTGTACCAGTTGTGGAGATTTTACAAAATTGTTCATTGCTGAACTGTATGAGACTATTTGGAATTATTCTAAGTCTTTATTCTTTCTTATACTTAAGGTAGAAGTCTGTCACTGGTAGAGTAGTAGCATTTCTCCAATATTGCTGCCACCCTTGTAACTCTTTTCTTTTCTTTTTCTTTTTTGTAATCCAGACTCTAGGAACACATTTATTTTGTTTTTGAATTTTTTCAGTTTCTTTAAACTTAATTAATTCCTAACTCTTGTTCTAATTCTTATGGAATCTTTGTTTAGTATATATTTAAGCCAGGAAATCAGACTCATCCTTTGTGGGTATCATTGGGGGTTACTTAATACGTATAAGAGTGGACATGATCTGATATGTAAAATTTTATATATATATATATATATATAGATGACTGTGGCTTCGAAATTTTGCAATAAAAAGCAGAAAACTGGCCCAGATTAATTTATTATTTAATTGGCCCAAGTAATAGAAGTTACCGAGAGTATCTTGCCCGCATGGCAAAGCCTGGCAAGCTCCCCGTGACGTATTGGATATGCCAAACACAGTAACAACAAAGTCTCATAATGGAGACAATACTGGGCTCGCTCGAGCAAATCGATGAACAATGGGAGGACAGTGCTACAGACAGTGCTAATAGAAGAAGTAATATAGAAGAAGTAATAACAGATTTTTTTTTTCATGTGGGTCAAGTAGTAAAGCACATGTATGTGTGAGTCGTTGGGCTTGATACTTAATGACTCTCCATAACCCACTTCTACCCACCTCACTACTATCATCACCAGGTGACCCCCAAGCACCTCTGGCATGGACCAAGCATTGCAGGGTATACCCCTCCAAGAAAACTTCCTGCGGAGCCATACTGAGAGGGAACAGATGATGGTTTCATTTGATTCATGCGTAACCATCAGGTCTTTTGAAGTAAGAATGATAAATTGAGTTTTAATCTTTATGAAGGGTAAATTCAGAGCAAATGAGAGAATATGAATATGTGAGAGGTAACTCTTTAATATAGCTTGAATCCTCAAACAAAACTGTCATTCTCAGAACTTCCCAAGGGATTTTTAAAAAGCCATAATATAAAGTTGAAATATGCAAGCAAGATATCTAATCTTAAATATCACAGATTATGCAAAATTTACTTCATTTTTAAAACCCACTCATTCTTTTTCTGATTTAATCAGTTATCTCATAGTTTTAAATATTAATTACCCATCCCTCTTGCATTATATAACCTGGGTCTTTTTGTTTTGTGTTTTTGGATTTTACTTGGCAGTGCTCAGGGCTTACTCCTGGCTCTGTGTTCAGATATCATTTCTGGCAAATATTCAGGGACCGTATGTGGTGCCAGGGGTAGAATGGGGGTCGACCATGTGCAATGCAAACCCCCTACTTGCTGAACTGTATCTTTGACTTATAATAAATGTCAATGCATTTCTTGTTTTTGTAACATTTTAAATTACTGAGGTATAGTTCATGAAAGTCCTGTATTAAGATCTTCTTTGACCACAAATTGAACTGATGTTGCCTTTTGTTCAGTAGCTTTTCTTAGATTTTTCTTTCATTGCTCTTCTGGATTGGATCTTTTGTTTTCCAAATCATTTTTCTTCATCTTTCTTTTATTCTTGGTTGAATTATTCCTTTTGCTGTGTATCATTCTAGAATACTTGTTTAGAAAGGGAATTATGTGGAATTAACTCTGAATCCTTACATGTCAAAAATCTACTCTTACTGATACTTTGGTTATAGAATTCTAGGAAAGAAAATTTTAAATTTTTAGATTTTTTTTTTCATCGTTTATTGTTGCTGTTGAGAATGTTGATTCTAGACTGATGTATTTGTTGGTGTTTCCCTCTCTTTCCTCCTCATTCCTATAGGTCTTTTGATTTGGGAACCACCTTATGGTACTAGGGTGGGACTACTCCTGACTCAGTGCTTGGCTCAGATCTGTTCTAGGGAGATAAAACTGAGCTCTAGGACTTGGAGTAGTAGTACAGTGGGTAGGGCACTTGACTTGCGTGAGGCAGAGTGGGTTAGAGTACCAGCATCCTTTGTGGTCCCCTGAGAATTACCAGGAGTGATTCCTGAGTGTAGAGCCAGGAGTAAGTCCCGAGCACTGTTGGCTGAGGACCCTGAACAAAACACAACAAAATCTCAGAGTTAAGCATGCTATAACCCATTCACCCATTCCATTTTCGTGGGTCTAGATCCTGTTTTTTTGACTATCAACCTTCTAAAAGTGTGCAATTTTTTGTGAATTTAAAATGTTGCCATTTCTATATCGAGTGCGCCATGGGGAGCTTGCCAGGCTCTGCCGTGTGGTCGGGATACTCTCAGTAGCTTGCCGGGCTCTCCAAGAAGGATTAAATGAAGAACCTCCCTCAAATTACTGTTATCAGGTTTAAATTAGATAATCCATGTAAATGTGTTGTTATAGAATTTGGCATTAATAATACTGGATTTTTGCTGTTTATGTGCTGTGATTGTACACTTATCTTTGGAATAAATGATTCAATTTTCTAGAAAAAAAATAAAATGTTGCCATCTCTGTAATTGGTATATACTTTAGTTTGAAGACTTCAGCACTGGGAAAATTGTCCTTTGAGAGCTTTTTTTTTGGCTTTTGGGTCACACCCGGCTGTACTCAGGGGTTACTCCTGGCTCTGCACTCAGAAATTACTCCTGGTGGTACTCAGGAGACCATATGGGATGCCGGGGATTAAACCTGGGTCGGCCACATATAAGGCAATGTGTACTCCCTGCTGTACTTTCACTTTGACCCTCTGAGAACGTTTGTATGTGTGCTGTTCTTACCTTCTGGTATTTGTAGCTTCTTGGAGGGGAGGGGGCACATCAGTGGTGCTTAGTGCTGCTCTCACATGCAACACAGCCTCTCCAGCCCCTTGCACTTTCTCCTAGGCTCTGAATTAGTGACATTTATCCAGGTTAATACCTTGTTTTGTCCTTTCCATCTGAAAAATAGTGCAGATATGTACAGAAGTTAATCTGTGTTGCCAACCCTGGTTCATCCTCACCAACATATATACCTTCCACGCACCATCAGAAGTGATCCCTGAGTACAGAGCCTGGAACACAGCTGGGTGTGGCCCAAAAAACCCAAAAACCTCAAAGATAAAAAGTACTGAGGGTTTAGGAAAGAAAATTGATTGAAGTGTGTGTGTGTGTGTGTGTGTGTGTGTGTGTGTGTGTGTGTGTGTGTGTCCTTGTCCTTCAAGACCAATGGCTTTTAAAAGAACTGGAGGGAGAGGAATATTATTTAAATGCCAGAATAAAGATGTAATATTACTAATACTCATACCAGCATCTCTGATCCTAGTGTTCACCAGTGTATTTACAAAATGCATCATTATTATTAATTTAGTAAGAAAATATGTCATCATTATTAATTTAGTAAGAAACTAAAATTCTTATTGGTGGGAGGGAAATTGTGGGTCTCTTTACTCTCTATTTTCAACCCAACTTCTATTATTCTCAGATCTGCTAAATGCTGGCTGTTGCTGCCACTTGTTACTTTTTGTGTATGTTGGGGGAGGGTGGTTTTTATTGGGAAGCAGACAGTGGAAATAGTTTTTTTTTTTTTTTTTTGCTTTTTGGGTCACACCCAGCAATGCACAGGGGTTACTCCTGGCTCTGCACTGAAGAGTTACTCCTGGTGGTACTCAGGGGACCATATGGGATGCTGGGAATCGAACCCGGGTTGGCCGCGTGCAAGGCAAACGCCCTACCCGCTGTGCTATCTCTCCAGCCCCCGGAAATAGATCATTTTCATTGAGACCTCTAGGCTACTACTTTACCTTCTCTGTTGGATCTTTTATTGTTTTTCTGTCAGCTCTTAAACTTTCAACAAAAAATTTCCTTTCGTTTTTGGATGACCTTCATGCTAGTTTCTGTGATAAATGAGGATCTATTACACCTTTAAGAAAGTTAAAATATGATTATTTTTATAGACTCCCTGGAGAAGAAAGATACAAACATATGCTATTTTATTCTGTTAAGTTCCTGTGTGCTGTTCTGTTCCATTAAATTTTGGGGTCTTTTATGTATAAGATACAGGTGATAATATAATATCATCTATATCATCATACTAATAGCATAGAATAGTGATTCGACAAGTAGTAGCTATGTTTGGTGCATTGGTACCTTCATCCTCCAATCTGTCTTTTTCTTGGAAGTTTTTGCCTGATCTTGTTCCAGTCCCCAAAGAACTGTAAGTTTCTCTAAACTCATATCCACTTATCTGCCATTGACTTGAGTCCTTTTGTCTTCTTACCTAGATTGTTGGTTATTTCTTGTTTTTGTTTTTTTTTAAGTGAAACAAAATAGTTTTATTGAAAATAAGGAAATGTGAGTGGAAAAATATATGTATCCCAAGTAAATGTATTTGTGTATTTATAATATATACAAATATATATTTACAAATGATATATAATATTTATATGTGTATATACATATATGTGTGCATATATTCTTACAGTAGAGAGAGGGTAAGGAGCAAACCTTGCATCCATCAAACCTGGGTTTGATCCCCAGCACCACTAGGAATAAACCTTGAGCACTGCAAGATGTGGCATTAAAATATACCAAATAAAAAAACCACTTTTGATTGTGTTTGTGATGCTGGGGATTGAACAAGGCTGTCTACTCTTAAGCTCTCAACAGATTTTTTTTTGTTATTGGTTGACTTTCATGCTATTTTCTGTGGTACTGAGGAAAGTGAGAATTATATTGATGCACACACATTTGTTTTAGTCTTACCCTTCAGATTTTGTTTCAGGGTTACATTCAGAGATTCTGTGGGACTACTCCTGGCTCAGTTCTTAGGAGACCATATGTAGTCCCAGGGATTGGACCAGGTTTAGGCCACATACAAGATCTTAACTGTATTATCTATCTGCCCTCACACCCTGCTTCAGATTACTTCATTTGTAAGTTGTAGGTTTCTTACCAGTATAATAGAAAACCATTATAGTTCTTTATAGCCTTTTCCTACTTTTAAGAGAACTTTGCCGGTGGAAGTCGTTTGCATGGGAGATTTCTGCTCTTGTATATCAGTAAGAGTGCCTTGCAAAATTATTTTTTGAATACACCATATCAGCTTTAGCTTTTTAAAAGTGTACATTTAAGAGGTGTTTGTTAGTTAGTTACTAACACCCAAGAGTGGCCTGAATTAGTACCAGGAGGTTTGCTCCATGGCTTAGAGGCCAACCATACATACTAGGGGAAAAGGGAGCTCAGATAGAGAAGGGAACACCAAATAAAGGGTGTTGGGAGGATCCTCCCAGGATGGGAGAAGCATGCTGAAAGTAGACTAGAGACCAAACACGATTGCCACTCAATGCCTCTTTTGCAAACCACAACACCCAAAAGGAGAGAGAGAACACAGGGGAATGCCCTGCCACAGAGGCAGGGTGGGATGGGAGAGATGGGGGGTGGGAGGGATACTGGGATCTGTGGTGGTAGGAAATGGGCACTGGTAGAGGGATGGGTATTTGATCGTTGTATAATTGAAACCCAAGCACAAAAATTTGTAAATCTACAACTGTACCTCATGGTGTCTCACTAATAAAATTTAAAATTAAAAAAAAAAGAGGTGTTTGGGATTACTCTCAGCTCTGCTTCATGGTAGCTCCCAGGGGTACTCAGGGGACCATGCCATACTAGTTAAGTACTTGTCTCGTCCTCACTCCCCTCTCCCCAGTCTTTCTAGTTCCTTTATTGTGCACTTAATGGACTACCCAAAAAGCAATACATTTTCAATTACTATTAGAGGTACAGTGGGTAGGACACTTGCCTTGCATGTGGCCAACCCAGGTTCAGCTCCCCCTGCCCCCTGCCACACCCCCGTATCCCTTATGGTCCCCTGAGCCCCACCAGGAATGATCGCTTTGTACAGAGCCAGAAAGAAGTAAGCCCTGACACTGCGATTGTAACCCAGAAACAACAGCGATTTTAAGAGGAGTTTGTGTGGAATTACTTGATACTACTTTTTTCTTTCTTTCTTTTTTTTTTTTTTAATTATCTACAGAAAGAATGGAGGGAAGACAGAAACGGGGAATTCAAAAGGAAAGTTGCCCGCTGTGTAAGAAAAAGCCAAGAGACTGCTTTTGAGTGACATTTATTCAATAGCTATAACTTCACTTATTTCAGGGTAAGCTAATTTTTTTAAATCATTCTACTCTTTTTAAATGTATGTCATTCTGCTCTTTATAAATTAATGTGACTTGGTCATTTGAATTTCATGTTTTCATTTAATTCATGATTTTAGTTGCTAGCATCCACTAGGCTATTGCTTCTCAAAAGCTACAGTTAAACCTGCTTGATTTTTTTTTTTTAATGGGGTAATGTGCCAAATACCAGTAACAATGATGGGTCTCATTCTTCTAATCCTGAAGAGCCTTGAATATGGCATTTTTTTTAAATGTCAGGGCTAGGACGAATAGACGTTACTGGGGCCTGCTCGAGGAAATCGATGAACAACAGGATGATCGCGATCATGATCGGGGTAAATCATCATTAGATCTCTAGTGAAAGTACACACAGCATGACTAAATAGTGAAAGGTTAGAACCAAAGGTTATGAATAAAGCTGCTGTGAGACTAGAGATGAAGGGTCTACCTTGGTCGGGTAAGACTGAAGACGTCTTGCACAATTTTTATTTTGAAGATATGGCAGGGATCAGAAAGATAGCTCAAAGGACTGGTGCACATGCTTTGCATGTGGGAGACCTAGGTTAAGTCCCTAGCACTGCACTTTATGGTCCCCTTAGCACTGCTAAGCGTGCATCCCACCCCTCCAAAAAAAACGAGACGGGAAAAATGGGACACAACATATGGGCTTATCCAAAGAGCAGAGCTTTAACTAAACTATTACAGACCTCAGAAAGGAATTGAATGTTGTTGTTCACCAGTGCCATGACAAAGGAATAAGTTCATTTGGGACAAGGAGGAACAAAAATGGATTTTTGATATTTCGATAGCACAGCGGTAGGGCGTTTGCCTTGCATGCAGCCAACGTGGCCGACCCATCTCGGAGAGCCTGGCAAGCTACCGAGAGTATCTCGCCCGCACGGCAGAGCCTGGCAAGCTCCCCGTGACGTATTCGATATGCCAGACACAGTAACAACAAAGTCTCCAATGGAGACCTTACTGGGCCCGCTTGAGCAAATCGACGACAATGTAAGATGTATTAGAAATTTTAGAAGCATCTCTTTGAAATGTTATGTGGAAAATTGCCTTGTTACTTAGTTACTTATGGATTACTTTCACTTAATGGTTGAGATAGGAGAAAAAAATAATTGAAAAAATTTACTTTTGAGTGAGGAATTGGGTTTTATGTTTGATTTTCGTAGTGTTGGTGATTGAACCCAGAGCCTTATATTTGTAAACTAATTGTTCTAACATTTCAGTTATATCCCTGGATTTGTTTTTGTTTTTGTTGTTGTTGTTGTTGGGGAGGGGGGAGGGAGGAAGGAGATTGGGCCACACCTAGCAGTGCTCAAGGGCACTCCCAGCTTGGTGAATGATGCTCTGAGAATCAAATCCAGGTCTCTTTTTCATGCAATAAATAGCATGTGCACCAACCCATTGAGTCCTCTCTCGATCCTGCTTCTTTATTGTAGGGGTAATGACCTGTGGTATTGGGGGAAGGGAAAATGGTGCCAGGGATCAAATCCAGGCACATATAAGATGTCTATATATAAGATGTGTGCTTGACCACTTTGACAACATCCCTGACATATTTAGAAAAACGTATTTTCAGTTTTTTGTTGTTTTTCATAAATTACTTTTAAGCCTGGCAAGCTCCCCATACCATATTCAGCATGCCCAAAACAGTAACAAGTATCACAATTTGTTGTGAGATGTTACTGGTTCCCACTCGAGTAAATCGATGAACAATGGGAAGACAGTACTACAGTGCTACTTTTAACAGCATCATGTAACATGTATGCTTGACCACTTGGACAGCATTCCCTGGCATATCAACAAAAAGGTTTTTCTGGTTTTTTATTTTTTAATTGTTTCTTATTCTTGTGATGCAGGTAACAATCTGGAACCTCACATGGGTTGTTTTTGTTGTTGTTTTTTAAGTAGATTTTGGAGCCACAGTGGGTAGGGCGTTTGCCTTGCACATGGTTGACCCGGGTTTGATCCTTGACATCCCATATGGTCCCCTGAGCATCTCCAGGAGTAATTCCTGAGTGCCAAGCCACAAGTAACCCCTGTTCTCAGGGGTTACTCTGGGTGTGGCCCCAAAACCAAAAGAAAAAAATCACAAATCTAAAAAGTGATTTTTACGGGGTAAGAATATGACTCCTTGTTAGGGTACATGGCTCGTTTGTGTGAAGCCCTGTTCAATCCCCCAGAACCACAAACACAGTCAAAAATGGGGTTTTTATTTGGTGTGTTTTAATGCCACATCCAACTACTCAAGGTTTACTCCTGGTGATAGCACTGTCGTCCTGTTGTTCACAGTTTGCTTGAACGGGCACCAGTAACGTCTCCATTGTGAGACTTGTTACTGTTTTTGGCATATCGAATATGCCATGGATACCTTGCCAGGCGCTGCCGTGCAGGCAAGATACTCTCAGTAGCTTGCCGGGCTCTTGGAGAGGGATGGAGGAATCAAACCCGGGTCGGCCATGTGCAAGGCAAACGCCCTATCAGCTGTGTTATTGCTCTAGTCCACTTCTAGTGGTGCTGGGGATCAGGTATGGTCCTTACCTTCTCTTTACTATCTCTCTGGTCCAAAAGTGGTTTTTATTTGGAAACATGTCTGTTTTATATATTTTAGGTATTTTAAATCACTAACTTTTTCAGCATCTTTCTTAGCAAGTATGTAAGTCATATGTGAGTATGTGAGGACCAAACTGTTTAGGGCTTTTTTTTTTTTTCTTTATGGGGGCATTTGATGGTCTTTAAAGACACCTGGTGGTTTTTAAAGGGTACTACCATATCTGTGTTCAGGGGCTACTCCTGGTAACTTTCAGAGAACAGTGCAGTGCCAGGGAATGAAGTAGCATTGCCTGCATGCAAGGCAAGTGCCTCTAGCCTTCAAAGACTGTTTAATTTTCCTAGAGTGGTATATCTACTTAAACATTTAAAATCCCTAACATTTGGTATGAGTTTTAATGAATGAGTCTAAGAATTAGGACAATCTGTATCTGCTTATAGTATAATGGATAATTTTTTAATGTAGTTTAGTTTTTATTAGCTCTTTTTGATGAGTATTAGTATTTGGGGATGTGTGGGAGCCTCCTAAGCTGTGTTGTTCAGGGAATAGGAACATTCTCCAGCAGTAACTGCAGGTGTTGGAGACCAGTGCCATAGGGCCATGTATGGCAATACTCAAGGCTTCCAAGGATACATCCTGAAGTGCTTGGGAAGCCATGTGGTACAGGGATTGAACCTAAACCAGGCACATTGTAACATGCGCCCTAACCATTGTATTATCCTTTATTATTATTAAATTGTATTTTTTTTAAATAACGTAGGAGTACTGCTGTTTGTTAGACATTGATTAAGCTGATTGAATTGGGCATGAACTCCACATTACTTTTTATTTTATTGTATCACCATGAGATAGAGTTACAAAGCTTACATGTTTGAGGTTCAGCCATACAATGATGAAACACCCATCCCTCCACCAGTGCACATTTTCTACCACCAGTTCCCAAGTATCACCCCCGCCCCCCCACATACAAAGACATTGCAGTCCTCACCCTGCCTCTATGGCAGACAGTTTCGCCAATACTCTCGCTCTAATTTGGGGCATTAATTTTGCTTGAATTTTCCCACCACCATTCAAGCCTACCTGCCAGGGCCAGATGCTAGATAATATATTTTCCAGAGCTCATTTTGAATATTGTTAGAGCTCACGTGGGCATGATTGTAAATGTAAATTTCTAGATTGTAAATGGTTGGGTTCCAGAGATATCTCTGTATGGCACTACTCCATTTTGGGATTCAGTTGGGAGCCTGTAGGCCAGGGCTGTTGGTGCGCTAAGATGGCATCTGGAGGCAAATTGTGGGCGTGACAAGCCAGTTTTCTGGGTAGGTGGTGACCTGAGGAGGGACAGCCCAGGTCCTCTGCAACCATGTGGCATGGAGATGTAGTCTTGAACCTGCATACCTGGACCTTGCTTTGAAAGCTCTTGGTCACCGGGATTCCATCTGGAGTAGGTGGGGAGACTGCACCTGCTCCATCTGGGGTGCCCTAGTGACATTGGCTGTGTTTTGGGCCTGACGCTGTGGTGTCATTTGGAACTTGCTGCTGTGTCTCTGGGCCAGGGCTGTTGATGTGATAAGATGGTGCCCAGAGGCTAATTGTGGAGATGACAGCCAGTCTTCTGGGTGGGCGGGGACCCGGGGAGGGACAGCCTGGATCCTCTGCTGCCATGCGGCCTGGAGATGTAGTCCTGGAACCTGCATAGCTGGGCCTTGCTTGTGGAAGCTCTTGGTCACCGGAAGTCCACCTGGAGTAGGCGTTATTAATTTGTATTATCTTTATTATTATTAAATTGTATGTGAGCAGGGAGATAGTTCAAAGGACTGAGTACGTGCTTTGCATATGGGAGGCCTGGATTTTATCTTTGGCGTGGAGCACAGAACCACGAGTAATCTTGGAGCACTGCCAAATGTGTTCCCAAAAATAATTTTAAACATAAAAATTGTATTTTTTAAAAAGGGTGAGGGGAGGGGGCCGTTAGATAGTACAGGAGATAGGGCTTTTGCTTGCACATGGTGAAACTAAGGTTTGATCCCAGTATCCCATATAGGCTTCCGAGCACTGCCAGGAGTAATTTCTGAGTGCAGTGCCAGGAGGAACCCCTGAACATCTTTGGACGTGGCCCTAAAACAAAAGACAACAACAACAATGAAAACTTAAAAGACAAATTAAGTCATGTCATAACATAGAAAATCAATGATTTGATTCTACTTTTAGAAATATACTGAAGGGGCCACGGCAATAGCACAGTGTGGAGGGTGTCTGCCGTGCATGTGACTGACCCAGGTTCGTCCCTGGCATCCCGTAGGGTCCCCCGATCACCACCAGGAGTAATTCCTGAGTGCAGAGCCAAGAGTAACCCTTGAGCATCACTGGCTGTAACCCAAAAAGTAAAAATAAATAAATATTGAAAAAAAGTACTTAAATACTTCAGACGTGAACCATATCCAGATTTGTAGTTTAGAACAAAAGTGGGAGTCTAGGAGATAGCTCACAGTGCTAGAACACATACATGTCTTGCATGTGGTAGGCCCTGATTTCAGTCTTTTGCGCTGCCAGTTTTATTCCAATTGGGCTGGAGCGATAGCACAGTGGATAGAGCATTTGTCTAGCATGCAGCCGACCCAACCAACCCGGGTTCGATTGCTGCTCTCGGAGAGCCCAGCAAGCTACCGAGAGTATCTCGCCCGCACAGCAAAGCCTGGCAAGCTACCTGTGACATTGCTGGGAGTCACTCCCAGCAGAACTCAGGGAATCCAGAGGTGTGGGATAGTGGAATCAGGGCTCCCAAATTTTAAGCAAACACTCCAGTCCTTCAAAGCTATTTCTCCAGCCAGTATTTTCTTTTTGGTTGGGTTTTTAAATTATTTAAATATGGTCCTTGGGGGCTGGAGAGATAGCACAGCGGGTAGGGCGTTTGCCTTGCACGTGGCCAACCCGGGTTCAATTCCCAGCATCCCCTATGGTCCCCTGAGCACCGCCAAGAGTAACCTCCTGAGTGCAGAGCCAGGAGGAACCCCTGTGCATCGCCAGGTGTGACCCAAAAAGCAAAAAATAAATAAATAAATGTGGTCCTTGACTTCCAGGCTGATTGAGTATATGAGACAACTGATATTAAACAATTAAAAAATGGTAATTGAGATACAGGATCTGTTGCTGAAGAAAATTTGGTGCATGCATATCTGGGATGGGTAAAATTTAACAAGTTGATAAGTATGTTGCAACCTTAAAATGATTTCTCTGAGTATCCTTAAATATTTATAAATTTCCAAATCACCTGTTTTTAAGTGCTCATTTTATTATTCTCGATGCAATAAAAACTAAAAGACATTTGGAAATTTAAAAATCTAAATGTACAGAGAATTTTGTGCAAGATGGAACATGCGGTATTTTTGCTGACCTCTCTAGTAGTCAGGGCATATCGAGCACTTAAAATGTGGCCAGTGGACTGGGGACTCACTTTAAAGTTTCATTTACTCTATTTAAATTTAAAATGAAATTTCCATATGTGCCTGGCATATTGGTTAAGAGCAAACTGAGCCTAAAATGTTCCCAACAAAATGAAATAGAGCATGTGGCTTGCCCTGATTTGAATCCCTCGTTCCACATATGTTCCCTCAACACCACCAGGAGCGATCTCTGCACAGAGCCAGGACTGCATCCAGAGCACAGCCAGGTGTGGACCCCAGACAAAAACAAAGTCAAATGTTTCTGACCAACCCTTTCATAACTTATGTACTCATCATCTAATCTTGTTTCTGTTACTACAGGTCTCCAGTTGAGAAATGTGGCACTGTTTTTCCTGCACTCTACCCACCTATTGCTGGACTTCTGTTGTAACAAGTTGGCAAACACTGGCTGGAACTGGGCTGCAATAAAACATGCCAGTATCAATGCTGACAAGAGCCTAACAAGTGCCAACTTACAGATGATTACGCATTTTGAATTCTAATGAACTGTTTTAACCTTCAGGAAGAATTGTAAAGACCTGTACATAGCACAACATGATCCGGATAATATATATACTGTTCATGTACATCCACCAATACATCTTGTACCAAATAATGCTTTCTTGTAGTAGAATAAGAATCGTGTAAATTCTAAAAGATTTTAGCAGGGTTTCTTTACCTATTCATTGTTTCTTATCAGTTTTAAAAGACTCCTTTAAAGCATGTCAGATGAAAAGCAATTAGGATTAAAAGTTTCCATTTAATTTCCTTTAAACCATTGAGATTTCATTAAAATCTTTTCACTTACTAAACTTTTGTATCTTCTTTGTTTTGACACACTCCCCTTTGCTTTTCTCTCTTCTATCTGCCAGAATGTTCTCCAATCATTTAGTTCAAATATTGAAATACTTAATAAGCAACTACTTGATTTTTAATGATGACCTCAGTGTGGTCATCACTAGGTGCTTTGTCCTTTTTGTATTCTAGCGCAACCTGTGTCTTGGATTGGATGTAGCAATAATACTTTTTGGCTATTAAGAGCTCTTGAACTCAGTTATTACTTCCAAGAACTAAAAAAAGTTGATCCTGAATTCAGGTTATTGAAAAATTTCCCAAACAGTGCAAGATTTTATCTGATTTGTTTCATTTTTTGCCCGATTTTGCAGTTACCTACTGTTAAGGTTGGATGCTAAAGCATGCACAGATACAGGCTTTTTTTTCTGGGTTTGCAATTAAAAGTGCTGTTTATCCTAATACCCTTTTCCTTTGTCCTTTATATTTCTTTGCCTCTATTCCTTCTACTGCAGATTTTTCTCACCTATTGTACAAAGAGATTGCGATGTATATTTTCATGTAATTTGATTTTGGAATTCTGTCACCTTATGTAGTGAGTTCTTCCAAAATACAATTTTTTTTCCAATAATTGTCAAGTTGTTGGCTTTTATTGTATCAAATGAAGGTTATATTATTGAGTGCTAGAGAAGTGCAGTTGAGAAAAATCTCAGGTTGATTTTTTTATGCAAACAAACTTAGTACTTGAAAATCACATGGCCATTGCAGTGTATAATAGTTTGTTTTCAATGACTTTCAAAGGATTACAGAGGTATAATAAATGCCTTGTTATTTGACATACAGATTCTGATGCTAATGTAGTAGGGTATATTTGAGCGTAAGTATATTTCATATCATGCAGTTTTCTGAAACAACTTAAAAAATGGTGAAATGAGCATGTGCAGTGTTAAGTCAGATCCAGGTTCTCTGTTTGGTGTGAGGCTGAAATTAGGATGTAATCTATGGCATATGAGGGATAGAAACATAGACAGTACTAGATGGGACATGATGTTAAAAGTGTGAGAATTGGTATATCTCTGCCCTGTGGAAGTTGGAGAAATGCTTCAGCAGATTTCTTCCATAACCCCATCCTCTACAAATAATTGCATTAAAAATAATTCTTTTGTCAATCAAAAGTAAAATGCTTGAAGATGCAGTAATGGTAGATTGCCTTTTGTAAATCCCAGTTTGTTCTGTACTCTAAAGTATTATAAAAAGCCATAACTATGTGATAATTCATTATGAAGATGATTTTTTTTTATTGAAGCCCAGTTTTTTTTTTCAAGAACTTTGAGACTTGCTTTTTTCCCGAAGACTAAAATTTTTGCATCAAAATGCCAGTATTGCACTCTTACCTGGGACTTTGAATGCAATCTCTTTAGTAAAAGAAATTGTAATTTCTTTTACTAAATTTCTTATTTACATAAGAAATTGTTCATTCTGTGGTTGCTTTTGGCAAACTGGAATCAGAATTTGGCTCTCTTTATGATGTAACTGCTTTGCAAACTGTTCACTTAAATCCTGGGATTTGACATTTTGGGGAATAGCAAAGGACCTCGTAGCTCAGGGACAACTAACTGTTTGAACTTTAAGTGCCACTTCTATGCAGTTATTTTGGGATAATTATGGGGTATTTCTTAGAGCTAGATCTACAAGAAAGGAGAAAAGGAGTGAGTATACTTCTCTTCACACTTTTTTCCACCTAAGCCCTGATGTGCTACAGAATTACCTGCCTAGGTAGTAAACTTCTTTTCCTGTCAGAGGTATCATCTGTGCCTTTTAAGTGTTCATCTGACAACTTCAATGCCTCTACATTTACGATAAAACCACATTCAGGTGACAGTAATCCAGGTGGCTTTTGTCGCACCAGTGTCTCATTAGTGTGAGGCAAGTCCTCTGCTTTAGGGAAATCCACCCCCCAAACTCCCAAGCTTGTGCCAATTATGAACTTAGGAATTGTGGAGGTGTTGACTATTTCCTAAATTGATTCCAAGTTCTTGTGAAGACTTAAGAGATTTCAGTTTGCCCATAAGAAGGTGCAAAATCTCGAAAATCTCAGTGGCTTTTTTTTTCTTTTTTTTTTGGGTCACGCCTGGTGGTGCTCAGGGGTCACTCCTAGCAGTGCTCAGGGGACCATATAGGATGCTGGAATCAAACCCAGGTCGGCTGCATGCAAGGAAAACGCCCTACCTGCTGACTATGGCTCTGGTCCCACTCAGTGGCTTTCTAGCCTCTCTTTGTGATTTTAAAATCCATATGATGTTGGTTTCCTTGTCATTATAATATCTTTGTGAGGTTATTTCACTAAGTTCTGTAATCACTTGGGTGTTACAGTATCTTTAATGGCCTTCATTCTCAGTTGTGAATATTAATTTTATATGCTCCCTCATCCTCTACAAATCTGCCCATTTGGGTTCTGGTGCCTGTGTATCTTTGCCTGTCTGGTCTCCAGTTGGTGGAATTACCTTTTTGTACTGCCACTTCTCAGCATCTTTGAAATTTGACATATTGTTGCTTCATTCCAGTTTTTTTTTTTCAGTTCTGTAATTTGTTGATTGTATTTAACTATGTGAGTTTTGTTGTGATGTTTACTGTATTGTAAAGCACCTCAATCATGTGGTGGGTGCTCTATAAATCAATAAATGATGACTTAGAGGCTGTATCATGAGCTATTTTGGTTTTAGGATGCAGGTCTCAAAAGCAGTTGTGAAATTCTTTTATGTAAATAGCACATCATGCCAAAGGGTCTACAAGGGAAATTTAGTAGGAAATTTTTAAAAACTTATATTTAAAGAAGGAACCAGAGAATGAGATGTAATTCCATCCTGATACAATGTTCTTAAAATTTCTAGTCAGGACCATGCACCATTCTTAATGTTTTTATGCATGCTAATTTAAAACCTTAAATAAAAAATAAGCACATTTGGAGCACTGGGGAGTCCTCCCCCACCCCATTCCCCTTTTTTTTGGGTTTAAACTGGCCCTAGTCTAAAAAATGATTCAAACATAAAGTTGAAAAGCTCCAGGGCACCATCTTTTTTGGGGGGGGAGGGGGTCACACCCGGCTATGCACAGGGGTTACTCCTGGCTCGTGCACTCAGGAATTACTACTGGTGGTGCTCGGGAGACCATATGGGATGCTGGGAATCGAACCCGGGTCAGTCGGGTGCAAGGCAAACACCCTATCCACTGTGCTATTTATTGCTCCAGTCCCGGGGGGCACAATCTTAATCACTAAACAGATGCTAAATAAATGAGTGTACTTGGCTCAAATACCTGCTCAGATCACTTGATAAGTTAGGGGAAAAGAGGCAAGGCTAAAATACTGTTTCTGCCCCTTTTTAAAACAAAGAGGAAACAGTCTGAGATAACAGGAAATACGGCTCTTACCTTGTATACTGCTGACCATGGTTCAGATTCCTAAGCACTGCTGCATATGGCCTCCTCCCCCCCCCCCCCCCCAAGTATGTCAGTATCCACCCTTTCAATTATTTTCCTCCTTTTTTGTTTATTTTGGCGCCACACTTGGTGCTTAAGGGTCCATTTCTGGTGATGCTAGAACTGCAGTTAGTCCCAGGGGTTGAATCTGGGCCTCTTACATGCAAAGTATGCGCTGCAGTTCATAGTTTTATCTCTCTGGTCCTCATTCCTGCATCTTTACAGAAAGTTTATAGGGATTTACATTGTTGGATATCTAAAGTGTGCCTAGATAAAATAGCAGTGACCCTTTTTGTCTCTTCTTATAGTCTAAGAATCATGGAACCAGACTTCTTCAGGGCTGAATTAGAAACAAAATCTCCCTGGAGGGCAGTTTTGGAGAAGATTAGGGATTATTTTCAGAGTTTAATTTCCTTGATACGTATGTTTTCAAATTAGTTTTAAAATTTGCTGTGTCAAATGCAAATGAATGGATTTTTGCATTTACTGCGTGCTAGACAGAACTACCAGTTGATTTTCTTCTTCATAAAGATAGCAGTAGTTAGCCTTGTTCCTTCACCACAACACCAGAACAAGGTTTTGGAATGCCTGGGGGGGCCCCTTCCTGCACCTCTCTGAGCTCTCAAACTGTGGACTCTGTTTTCTTTCTTTTTAGCTGTCTCTGTCTTTCTATCAGTTCTTTATTACATGCATTGGACTGCTTGCTATATTTTTAACCAAATAAATGGAAGTTTAGTGCATGAAAAAAATAAATTTTCTTGAGAACTGCAAATCTCAAAAGTATTTGGTTTGCAAAGTAAATCATTTCCATATAAAATACTTTTGGTGAAGTGTTTTTGCAGTTTCAGAGGTGTGTAACCTGACTGCCAAGGTGTAGGTAGGATTCAGTTTTTGGATAGTTAGTTGCATCTGCAAGCAACACCGAGAACTTTGAATTTTGAATCCTTTTTACATAGAAGGAATGAACTGAACTGGAAAGAAAGACTTTCATGAAAAGAACATCTTAAACATCGAAGCTTTATAGAAGTATAGGCAAGGTACTTGAGTTGTTTTCCCTTCCTAGCAAAATCTATTATAGCACTTATTCACAGTGACATATCATTCGTAATGTGCACTAGGAAGTTCCTATTTATTCAATTTCTATTTTGTAGGAGGTTTTGCTAAGTGTTTTTCATAAAGAATGTAATCAAGAGTCTTCTAAGCAATTTCTCATGAAGGAACAGTAACAGATTAAATTTGTCAGGATTGTAACGTTAAGGTTTGCAGCGGGGTACAAACTTGTTTGAATACTGTGCAGTGTTGCCCTTATTGATAGATAAAATCAGAATCTTTTTTTCCAGGGTCACGTTAAAAATGAGTCTACTGAGGCTGGTATTTGAACCCTATTAGTTGAACTTCCGGTTTAGTGATTTTCTTCTCCTTACTCCCAATAAGTCTTGCTGTGTATTTGTTTGGGTTTTGTTACTAGCATAACACCCAGCAGTGCTTAGGTGATATGCTTGGGGGGAGGGGAAAACCGGTTTGTGGGTGGTTGTGGGAGGGGAAATGTCAGTCCCAGTGGTGCTAAGAACCACTCAGTGCCCAGGGATCTAATGTGGACTTCGCATATGCAAAAGAGTCCATTGAGGGTTCACTCTGCACCCTCCATCCCTTCTATTGCTTGATTTTTTTAAATGTCTGATATTTAGGTCATTTCTAATATAACTGCCTAAGCTTGTGGGTGTTGTAGTTAGCAAGTACTACAAATGGCTTATTCAAGATTGAAAAAAATCCTCTAGGGAATTTAAATCAGCAAGAGAAGACGAACCTAGATATAGGGTTATATTAAAGGCATATCTGGTGGTGCTCAGGGATCACTCCTGGGGGACCATATGCAATGAGGTCAGCCGTGTGCAAGGCTAGCGTCCTACCTGCTGTCCTATCATTCCCACCCTACAGTGTTTTTTATTTTTTTTATCATTTTTTTTATTAGTGAAACACCATGAAGTACACTTATAGACTTAAAAATTTTTGTGCTTGGGTTTCAGTTATACAATGATCAAGTACCCATCCCTCCACCAGTGCCCATCCTCCCCCACCACGGGTCCTAGCATCCCTCCCACCCCCCATCCCCCCCCCCCCGCCCCCATCCCACCCTGCCGCTGTGGCAGGGCATTCCTCCCTGTTCTCTCTCTCTTCTTTTGGGTACTGTGTTTTGCCAGAGAGGCATTGAGTGGCAGTCATGTTTGGTCTATAGTCCACTTTTAGCATGTCTCTCCCACCCTGGGAGGGTCTTCACAACACCCTTTATTTGGTGCTCTCTTCTCTATCTGAGCTTCCTTCTCACCTAGCACATGTGGCTGGCCTTCAAGTCATGGAGCAAAATTCCTGGTACTAATCTGAGCCCTTCCTGGGTGTTAGTCTCCCGTTTCGTTGCTTTATGTTCCCCAGATGAATGCAATCTTTCTGTGTCTATCCCGCTCTTTCTGACTCATTTCGCTTAACATGATACTTTCCATGTAGTACCACTTGTATGTAAATTTCATAACTTCATCTTTTCTAACAGCTACATAGTAAATGTACCAAAGCTTCTTTAACCAGTCATCTGTTCTCGGGCACTCAGGTTTTTTCCAGATTTTGGCTATTGTAAAGAGTGCTGCAATGAACAAACAATTGCAGATGTCACTTCGACTATACCTTTTTGCCTCTCTGGGATATATTCCCAGGAGTGCTATAGCTGGGTCAAATGGGAGATCGAATTCTAATTTTTTGAGAATCGTCCATACTGTTTTCCAAAAGGGTTGGACCAGCCTGCATTCCCACCAGCAGTGAAGGAGGGTCCCTTTCTCGCCACATCCGCGCCAGCACCTGTTGCTTTTGTTCTTGTGGACCTACAGTGTTTTTTAGATCTCTAACAAAGGGCTTCTTTCTTGAAGATATACAGTGATGCATTTGATCTATGTGAACTGAGATGAAACAAATTTGGTTTTCCTGCATATGTGTTACTTTAGTAACTGTAGTTCACCAAATACTCAGGATCCTGAGTCTCCAAATTATTATGAACCATGGATTCTAGTTCCATATTGCTCTTGAAACTGATGGAGAATCTGAGATGCAACAAAAAGCTTTCAGAGACCAGGTTGTGATGAACAGCAACTCAGTTCCAAAGCCAAACAAATTCAGTTCTTGTGACTCCCGGTATAGCTCACAGTGATAATTCATCTAATGTTTTGAGCACCTACTGTGTGCCAGAGTCTAGGCTTGTGCTGATGAAGAAGAATATCTTAGGATGCAAAAGCAGACTTTTCATCTATATGTTCTAAAAGAAAGATGTTTTTCAGGTACTCTTAATTGGTTTGGTTTGGTTTTGGTGCCACACCCAGTGGTTACTCAGGGGTTACGCCTGGCTCTCCTGGTGAGGCTTGTGGAGCCATAGGGATGCTAGGGATCAAACCTTGGTCAGCCACTTACAAGGTGAGTGCCCTATCTGCTATCTTCAGCACCTGTCAGGTACTCATAACAATAGAAGATGTGGTTGTATAATCAGAGGAGACGGTTGCTGGCCACCCCGGAAGACCATAAGGGCTCACTATTTGGCATATCTATAAACCATTTGATATAACCGAAGAAGCTGTTGAGCAAAAGCACCTTGTATCTGGCAAGTATCTCCTGCTTTTTGTGAAAGTGTAGCTTGCTCAGTGATACTTCCTTAAGCACCTCACTGCCTGGACCTCTTGCATCGTTCATCTCTTGCATTGTTAGTCCCATCTGAAACATCATTTCCCTGAGTACACTAGTTCATCTATACATTTAAATGGAAGGTCTCCCCTTCTGTCTCCCAGTAGCCTGTCAATCAGGATTCCTCTTTTCCTCAAAATGTTGACTTTTTTGACCTTATGCTTACTAACCTCTGAATTCCTTCTGCAGTCCACTTTGGTTTAAATCCTTCTCTTTTGTTTTGATGCTTTCATCCTGTTCTCAGATACTTCTTTTAATCTGCTCTTGTCTGCTACAGGAGGTATCTTTTCCTGCAGTCGATCACTACGAATAGGCTTCTTGGAATGGGCACAATCAGAATTCTCCTGCATTCTTCTGACTTTGACTAAAAACCCTTTACAAAAGGTCTTATGCTATTCAGTCTTACTCTTTTGCTCTTTTTGATAGCAGTCATCTCACCTAGAGATTTTAACACCTCCCTTGTGGTCTTCTGTTTCACGATCTCTAATGTCAATATCTAATTTTC